CTTAATATCCTAATGATTTTTGGCATAAAAGAAAAATTGATAATTTTGACCCATACAACGTTTTTTTGGCTATTGCTGAAAATATACCCAAGTGACTTAAGACAGGTTTTGTGGTCCAGGGTCACATATGAGTTTATGTAGCCAGACCTGATTTTTCTGTTCAGATTCTGTCTGGTTAATCAAGCTTGAGACTTCAGCAATGCTCTCACCATTGATTTTACTGATTTTATTTACTCAATATGGATTTTTAAGGTCTTTTATGTTACATACTGGTCTTTGTCCTGTATAGTGATTTATCCTATATAGTGCTTGCATAAAGCAAGTTTTGGGCTCCCCCAAAGTCCACGGTATAGTTCGAACACTGGATGTAATTACAAGTGAAGTAAGTCATGTAATTTCTGTGCCACTGCACCAAATTGCAAAAATAATGATTGAAAAAAATGACACAATTCACCTTTAGAGACACTCTGATGTAGTTTTTTTTTTACACTGTCACAACAATAGAGTCACTGAGAGCAGTGTGTCTCTGTGTGTGTTACCCGAGCATGATTATCCCCGATATCCAGCCAATATTTGTGAAATTTGACGATGTTTGGATGATCCACCTGCATCAGGTTCTCAAACATCTCCTTCATTTTGTCCTACACAAATACAACACATTCAAATAAGCAAAACACATCTTAATCATTTTAGCTATCACATACACATACACTACTGTTCAGAAGTTTGGCGTCAGTACAATTTTTAAAGAAATTAATCACCAAGGACGCACTAAATTGATCAAAAGTGACAGTAAGGACATTTATAATGTTACAAAAAAATTATATTTCAAATAAATGCTGTTCTTTTAAACTTTCTATTCATTAAAGAATCTTAAAAAAATATTAAGCATCACAACTGTTTCTAACATTGATAATAAATCAGCACATTACAACGATTTCTGAAGGATCACGTGACACTGAAGACTGGAGTAATGATGCTGAAAATTCAGCTTTGCATCACAGGAATAAATGATATTTTAAAATATATTTAAATAGAAAACAGCTATTTTAAATTGTAATAACACAACATTATTTTTACTGTATTTTTGATCAAATAAATGCAGCCTTGGTGAACATAAGAGACTTCTTTCAAAAACATTAAAACATCTTACCGATTGTCAATGGTAGTGTAAACAGAAATGTTTTGAGCTCTCACCTCCACTGTCTTGAAGACCTTCTTGTCCTGGAAGAGAACCTCGTTCCAGACCACCTCAACACCCTCTTCAGTGTCCATGGCCAGAGAGGCACTCTCCACGCCAGGAACATTCCCCTGACTCACCTGCAGGGGGAGACAAATAATCACTTTTAACATCTACAATCCAGTCCACCTTTCTGACCAATTTACCATTACTTTCCTAATATTTCTCAAGTAACCTAAAAAATAATATGCTCTTATGAGTACTGGAATAAAATGTTTTAAAAATGATGTGTCACTTTGTGTGGGGAAATTATGAACTGCTGAATTTAAATGTGACATAAGTATTTAAAATACTATCAGCTACATTGATTGTAGTGAAAGTGATATATCAATCAGACAGACTGATTAAGCATTTTGTCTAGTCTCATTTCAAGACTAATCATTTATAAATAATTAAATAATCAGTAATAAAAATATTTTTAAATTAATTTTGAGTAAAAATTATGTAAATTGTTTTAATAATTTATTTTATATTTTATAAAATAAATGTATGTTTTTAATATATATTTTAATATATAAAATTTTTAATTACGTTTTTCATCAATTTTTGCTTACAACATATTTGTAAATTAAATTAAATTAAATTATCACATTATATGAATCAGCATCAACCATTAAAAACCCACATTTGTTGACCACTATTTGTTTGGATATCCTTTTTTTTAATTAACCTCTTCAAATCAAACTTTGAAAGTATAATTTATCTGAATTCTGAATTCAAAGCCATCTTTTATGTTTTTCAGGAGTATGCTGAATTGGGATCTGGATTAGAGCCTGAGAGAGCCTGAGAGAGAGCCTGAGAGAGAGAGAGAGAGAGAGAGCCTGAGGGATTAGACATGAAGCCAGAGAGACATAGAGCGGATCATGCTGAGAGAGGGATAATGACTGAAGAGATGAGACGAAAGAGAGAGACAGCAAATCGTGAGAAAGAGCACACGTCTTTGCCGAGTCATGCATGTCTCACACATCATCTCTGTCTGTGCATGTGAACAGACAAATGTCCGTCTGCAAGTGTCTGTACTTGTATGACTAATAAATGCATTTGTAGCTAGGCTTTTAACAATGAACAAAAAAAAAAAGTTGGTTTCCATAAATATATTAAGCAGCACTGTTTTCAACATTGATAATGATAATAAATGTTTTAGTAATGGCTGCTGAAAATTCTACTTTGCCATCACAGGAATAAATGACATTTTTTTAAAAGAAAACAGTTATTTTAAATTGTAATAATGCTTCACAATATTACAGTTTTTACTGTATTTTTGATAAATAAATGCAGTCTTGAGAAGCTTAAAAATCTTACCGGCTCTAATCATTTTTGAATAATGAATAATTGGTCAAAGTACTTTTACCTAGTATGATAGGAGTAAATACATTAAATTCAAGGTCAAGACTTGGCTGGAATTACATGTATGTTTCAATCCGAGTTGTTTGACTGAGCCAAAAAATTGTCACCTATATTAGATGTTTTACGATACACATGTTTCTGATTGGCACTCTGAGCCCAGCTGTCTCTAGAGATATGGACTCAGATCAGAAGTGTCTATTGCATCCACATGGCAGAACCGCTGGGTATCTTAACAGATCACATGCATAAACTCAAGGTAATTTTAATCATTCAAGATATCAGGTCTATTAATATGTAAAGGATGATGCAAATTTGCATTCTATTAAACAGGTGATCATTCAAAACATCTCTTCAAATATGTCCATCTCAGCTTCATACACTTGTTTTGGTCAATAATGTGATTATAGTTGTGGAGGAACTGCAGAATTCAGATACACTAGAGCCATTGAGTCATCAGCTGGGAATCTAGCCCAACACTAGTCAAAAGACCACAATATATATATCACGCTCACAAAATAAATAAGGCTACAGAAGTGCTTTTCCTGTAGCTTTCTGAGGGTAGTAACCAAGATGTTGTTTAACCCTTTGGAACCAGAAATAAAGTCCTAGTATCTTCTCTAAATACATTGTTATGATGAAAGCCAGATTCTGTCTAAATCTATTAGGATGTAGAAAAATATACTGGTCTCAACTTTTTTTTTTTTTTCCAACTTCAATCAATCAATTATTCAATAAGTTCAACGTCCAATCTTTAGAACGAAAATAAATTGAAATAAAAGAATCATGTTTATGAGATATCTACCATTTTATGCAACTCGGAAATAACTGGTTCTGATAATTCTTAAATATAAAAAATACAATTATATAATTAAATTATTAAATAATATAAAGTTATATGAAATTAAAAAATAAAGTTTATATTGTTATATATAAATATTTTTAAAAATTAAAATTAGATACATAAACTATATATAAACAATCAAAAAAAATTAAATCCAATATAAATATATATATATATATATATATAAAAAATATCTCTTTCTCTCTCTATATATACTGCAAGCTCCAGTCACATTACACATATTTAGTTCTTAAAATGCTTTCAACTTTATTTCAAATACATTAATCTCCATGTGTCTTAAAAAGTAAATGCAGGTTTTGTAGCTCAAAGAGCTGTTTTGTTGTTTCTGTTGAACTTTAAAGGCTTTTTGGGTACAACTGGGCTGATCCTAAAACACCATGAAAAAAAGTACAGTACTAACTGCCAGTCTGAGCCCTGATTTGTATGGATTACCCACAATCCTTTGGTTTTGTTTGCATTGCCTACAACTGGGTTTCATCTCAAAGGTCAAGAGGTCACAGGGGCTGTGGTGGGTTTAATGCAAGTCGGAATGCAACAGCAGCAATAGAGGATTTATAGAAACTTTGACGAAACTAGTCCATAAGGTGAAGTCTTTAAAATTCTCTTAAAGGTCAAACAGACATTAAAATAAATGTAATAAGCTACAAACTCCAGTCTGCAAAACACTAAACAAAACATTAGTGGTCGACCGATATATCGCCAATGCCGATATATCGGGACGATATTTGGCATTTTTCAAATATCGGCATCGGCCGATAAGTTTTTCTGTTTGGCCGATGCGTTCGTAGCGGGACTTTTATTTTGACGGTGTTGAGAACAGCAGCGCCTGAACACACAGTACTCACATTCTCCCTCTTGTTCGCCGTCGTCGTTAACAGTTCTGTCTAATACGGATAGAAGTCTGTCTAATAATCCAATAGAACTGTTAAACAAAGGAATTAAAATGTATACAAAAAAGTATTATAATGATTGTTTTTATATTGTTATTAATAGAAAGGCAAACATTATAATACTTTCTTGTTTGCCGT